CTTAGCACACACAAAGAAAAGGCCTTAGCACAGGGGCACCTGGGTGGCTCAGTGGTTGAGTGTCTGCCTTTGGCTCAGGTCATGATCTCAGGGCTCTGGGATGGAGTCTGGCATCAGACTCCCTGCTTAGTGGGAAATCTGCTTCTCCCTCTCCCTTTACCCCTCTCCCTGCTTGTGCTCTCTTTCCCTCAAATAAATAAATAAAAATAAAATCTATTAAAGAAAAAAAGATGTGAATTTTGTATGTCTATTTTTATATCCTTTCCTAGTTATTTATTTTTATTATATTTCTACAGTAGGATCAGTCCTTGAAACATGGAGAAAAGCACTGATAACCAGAGACAAAACTGATCCTTCACCAAAGGTCTTTCGAGAAGCACAGAGGTCTCATCTATAGCCTAAGAACAATGAAGGAGAGAGAGACGTGTGGCCCAATAACACAGATAAAAACTCTGTTTTTCTATGCTAACAGGGATTTTCCCACAAAAGCATCGATCTCAACCACTTTGACCAGTTTGGTTAGTTCCCCTTATGGTCCTAGTGAAGGTTCACTATTCAGCAAATTTCAAGTCCCAATGTCAGTTCTGACCTGTATTTCAGTGTAAAAAATTAACTTTACTTTTCTAGTATTTAGAAAATTCTATTAAAACAATTGTAATATAGGGTCACCTGAATGGCTCAGTCATTAAGCGTCTGCCTTGGGCTCAGGTTATGATCCCGGGGTCCTGGGATGGAGCACCACATTAGGCTCCCTGCTCATCGGGGAGCCTGCTTCTCCTGCTCCCTCTGCTGTTCCACCCACTTGTGCTCTCTGGTTCTCTCTCTGAGTCAGATAAATAAGTAAAATCTTAAAAAAAATAATTGTAATTTGGGATAGGGTTTATATGAAATGATATATGTTAAAGACAAGGAAATGATATATGAAATATGTTAAAGACAAGGAAAAAACAAAGCCTCCACTAAAAAGACATGACACTTAAAAACAATGCATGATCTCAGACCAAGGGGGGAAAATAGATAAAAAAGACATTTTGGGGACAATTAAAGAAAGTTAAATATAGACTATGGGTTAAAAAATAGTGTTCTATCAGGGCACCTGGGTGGCTCAGTGGGTTAAATGTCTGCCTTCAGCTTAGGTCATGATCCCAGGATCCTGGGATGGAGCCCTACATCAGAGTCCCTGCTTCTCTCTCTCCTTTTGCCCCCCACCCCACTTGTGCTCCCTTTATTTCTCTCTCTCAAATAAATGAAATCTTTAAAAAATAATATTGTATCAATATTAAAAACTAATCTTTATAATGATACTGTGGCTATGTTCTTAGAAAATACACTGAAACATTTAGGGGCAAAGACGTATAACTTAGTCTCAAGTGGTAATAATAATATGTATCTATGTATATATATAATTATATACTAAACATAGTGTACACACATATTACATGTCTATGATGAGACAGCCAATTATGGGGCAAATAAGGCAAAATGTTAACTACTGATGAATTAGGTATAGGGCATCCAAGAATTTTTATGTCAAAATACAAAGTTATTTAAAAAATAATAAAAAAAAAAAACAGGGGCATCTGAGTGGCTCAGTGGTTGAACCTCTGCCTTTGGCTCAAGGTGTGATCCCAGGGTCCTGGGATTGAGTCCAACATCGGGCTCCCCACAGGGAGCCTGCTTCTCTCTCAGCCTATGTCTCTGCCTCTCTCTGTCTCTCATGAACAAATAAAATCTAAAAATAACAATTAAAAATATATATTAAAAAACGAAGTCTCCAGCCTACAGACATGGATAGTTAGTTCTGCTGAGTAGCAAATCCTTATCTTTCTCACAAGGACATGACATGCAAAGTCTTGAGACTTGTATTCCGGGGTTAGGTTGTGCGATGGGTATGGTCATGAAACAATAAAAAGGTAAAATTGTGAAATAATTGGCCAACAGTTTGTCCACAGTTCTAACAAAAGTCAGCAACTGTGTATCAGGACCTGGATCACACCATGTGGTAGTCATAAATGTGAGGATGTCCTTGTCCTCATGTCCTCAAAATCCCTTCCAGGAGCCTGAGATGTCTTGAAACATAAAATGTCCCAAGTGAGACCTGACTTAGGGGAAAACATTGATGACTTTGTTTCAAACACTCTATCTTCTTTCTGTTGCCTTACTGTCCAGAGCATCTGTTTCTCAGCATGTCTCCGCTGCACTTTGTGAGGTTGTTCCTTTCTCTCTCATATTTGGGCCTGTTGTTTCTCCTTCACCAGGGCCTGTAGAGTTAGCTCACCTTCTTTGTCTGTAGCTGTGGCTCACCTCTCCAAAAGATCAGTTCAGTTGAAGGTTGCAACCAGCTATGGTCAGAATGGCTATGTGTTCTAAGGCCCGTGTTGGTCCAAAAGTGTCTTATATTTTATATAATTGCTAGAGTTGTCTGCATTTAATCAGGAGAGTTTATGTAATCTGGATTTCCAGTTTCTCTTCAAAGATCAGATCTCACAAGACCAGGCCCTCAGCCCCTTCGGGGTAACAGTAGTCAGCATAAGGCCATCCTTTAGCCAGGGTTGGTCCTTCTAGTAGGTGACAATCTCCATCCATCTGGCCCACTTCATTTTGAACATAAGTAAATATCCCCGTGATATTTTTCATTTTGAGACTCCTAGGTCAGAGTATCAGTGGTAATGTGATCACAATACGTATAATTGCTGTATCAGAGCCATCTGAGTGATACCACAGATTTTTTTTAAATTTTTATTTATTTATGATAGTCACACACAGAGAGAGAGGCAGAGACATAGGCAGAGGGAGAAGCAGGCTCCATGCACCGGGAGCCCGACGTGGGATTCGATCCCGGGTCTCCAGGATCGCGCCCTGGGCCAAAGGCAGGCGCTAAACCGCTGCGCCACCCAGGGATCCCGATACCACAGATTCACTAATCACCTGTCTCCGAGCCCTGGGCTGCTTGCTCCAGTCTAGATCAGTGCTATAGACTGAATGACTGTGCCACCCCTAAAGTCATATGTTGGAAGCTAATCCACGTGATAGTATTTAATGGTATTTGATGGTCTTTGGTTTTTTTTTTACATAATTAGATCATGAGAATAGGGCTCTCATGAATGAGATTAGTGTCCTTATAGAAGAGACTTCAGAGAGCTCGTACCATGCGAGGACACAGTGAGAAGACGGCTATTCATGAGCCAGAAAATAGTCTCTCACCAGAACTGAATCTGCTAGAACCTTAGTCTTGGATTTCTCAGCCCCTAGAACTATGAGAAATAAATTTCTGTGTTTATAAGCCACCCATTCTGTGGCATTCTGTGATAACAGTTGGAACAGTTTAAGATGGTTACCCAGCCCTCTTTGGGGCCCACATGGGACTCCATCCCTGTCATCATTCCAGTTCTAAGGGGAGGGTCATTGAAGGCTTACTTTTCTGGCTTCTCCAGACTTTGAGTTCCCTGAGGAAAAAGTTGATAATGATCCCTTTACTGCCTTCATAGTTTTTCTTTTTTTCCAGAAGGTCATACAGTTGGAATCATACAGTATGTAGCCTCTTCATATTGGCTTCTTTCACTTAGTAAAATGCATTTATATTTCCTCCATGTCTGTTTGTGGCACAATAGCTCATTTCTTGTTAATGCTAAATAATGTTCCATTTCCTTGATAAATTAGTTTCTTAATCCATTCACCTATTGAAGGACATCTTGTTTGCTTCCAAGTCTTGGTGGTTATGAATAAAGCTGCTGTCAACATTTGTGTGTAGGTCTTTGTGTGGACATAAATTTCCCACTCATTTCAATAAATTCTAACAAATGCCATTAACTGCTGGATGGTGTGGTAATAGTATGTTTAGTCTGGTAAGAAACTGCCAAACTGTCTTCCACAGCGGCTGGACCATTTTGCGTTCTTACCAGCAATGAATGAGAGTTCCTGCGGCTCCACATCCTTGTCAGCATTTTGTATTTTGGCCATTCTAATAGTTGTGTAGAGGCTCGCATTGTTATTTTGGCCTGTATTATTGAAAAATGTCAATGGCAAAATGAGAAAAGTTGAAGAAAAGCTAAAAGATTAGAGACCACTGAGAAGAGAGATACATTAATTACATGATCTTGAAAACGTGCATAAAAGACATTATTAGGACAGTTGGCAAAACTGGAATAGGGAATATAGATCAAGTTCTTGTAGTATTGGGAAATTTCCTGGATTTGATCATTGTCTTGTTTTTATGACCTACAAACTGAAAGATTAAGAATCAGGTGGGTTTAATGTATGCAACCTGCTCTCAAGTGATTCAGAAAAAAAAAAATACATATATAGGTAAATATAAAGAAAGGAAACATGGCATAATACTAGCAATTTGTGAATGTGGGTCATGGGTACATAGGAGTTGTTTGTACTATCTTTGCAACTTTTCTGCAAATTATTTTATTTTAAAAATAAAAAAGTCTAAAGAACTAGGAAAATAATAGTTCTGCCTTTAACATTGCATCCATATCTTTTGATGTGCACAGACGAGTTTCTCGGTCCTACTTTGAAGAGTGGGATCCCAGACTCACGGTGTGTGCATCTTCCTCTTGATCAGCTAAATAGTTTACAGGGTGCCCTGACATGCACATTTTTACTTTTTTCCTTCTCTCTCCCTAAAATGTCAGGTCCTCGGCAGTGTCACAGTTGTAGGCCCTGGGTCCTCAGCATCGGCCTCCCCCGGAACGCTACAGCTAGCAGTGCAAGCCCTCAGACCCTCACCGCAGACTCGCGGCCTAGAAGTCTGCGTTCTCACGGTCCTCCAGGGGACGAGAACGTCAACGCTGCGCTGTGATCCGCTCGGGCCGCTCGCGGCCTGCAGACCGCCAGCCCCTCACCACGGCCGCGGAGCCCGGGAGCCGGGCGAGGCGGGGCAGAGCCCAGGGGCGGCGCCCACCCGGGGCGACCTCCGCGCGCCCGCAGCTTCGCCCCGACGGCCGCTGGGTGCGGAAGGGCGGCAGCACGGGGCGGGCCGAGGCCGCTGTCCCCGCCTCCCGAGCCTGGGGCTGCCGCGTCGCGCCGTCCTGCGCCTTCCTCTCTGCCGCGGGGCGCGATGGAGACGGCGCGCGGGGCGGCCGCGGCGCTGCTGGTGCTGCTGTGCGCGGGCTGCGTGCCGCGCGGCGGGCGCGCCCAGTACGAGCGCTACAGCTTCCGCAGCTTCCCGCGGGACGAGCTGATGCCGCTCGAGTCGGCCTACCGCCACGCGCTGGACCAGTACGGCGGCGAGCGCTGGGCGGAGAGCGTGGGCTACCTGGAGATCAGCCTGCGGCTGCACCGCCTGCTCCGCGACAGCGAGGCCTTCTGCCACCGCAACTGCAGCGCGGTGGCCCCGGCCCCGGCCTCGGGCGAGCCCCAGCCCCAGCCCCAGCCCGAGCCCCAGCCCGAGCCCGAGCCCGCCGGCCTCGCCCGCTACCCCGAGCTGCGCCTCTTCAGGGGCCTGCTGCGCCGCGCGCACTGCCTCAAGCGCTGCAAGCAGGGCCTGCCCGCCTTCCGCCAGTCGCAGCCCAGCCGCGAAGTGCTGGCCGACTTCCAGCGCCGCGAGCCCTACAAGTTCCTGCAGTTCGCCTACTTCAAGGCAAGTCGGCCTGCCGAGGCCCGCCCCGCCCCGCCCCGCCCCCCGCCCCGGGCCCCGCCCCCGCCCCCGGGCCCCGCCCCCAGGCCCCAGGACCCGGCCCGCGCCCCCGCCCTCCGTCCGGGGCGGCCTCGCACCGCCTGTCCCCATCCTGCCTGCCCCCAACTAGCCTTGTCAAAGACGCCTCCAAATCCTGTCCCCCCTCCTTCATCTCAAATAGGGATGAAAGCTCTTTTATTCTGGGACAGAGAGGACGTTCGCGGAACTCCCAGGCACCCAACAAGGCCTGCTACGTTTTACCTGTTACTTGGAGACAGACTCCTTAAAACTCCTTTTTCTCGAGGAAGTGGCGACTTTCAGTAGTAAGACGGGAAGAGGACCCGAGCTGCCTGCCGGCCAGCTCCGTCTACGAGAAGGAGACCGAGGCCCGGCCAGGGCAGGGCTCCTGGAGCACACCCCCTGTTGGGCTCTCCGCTCTCTCCTCTAGGATTTGACACGATTGTCTCCCTCCTTCCTTGTGGCTGCTTAAATTCTGCGAGTGCTGGCTAAAAATAGCACGAATTGCAGTTCTTCACCCTTGGAGTCCTTTCTCCTGGGACCCGCAAGTTTTAAGAATGGGCTGAATTCCCTGTTAGTGGATGAAGTGACTTTGACTTGGCGGGTCTTTTTTTTTAAGATATTTTTTTTTAATTTTTTTTTTAAATTTTATTTATGACAGGCACACAGTGAGAGAGAGAGAGGCAGAGACACAGGCAGAGGGAGAAGCAGGCTCCATGCACCGGGAGCCCGATGTGGGATTCGATCCCGGGTCTCCAGGATCGCGCCCTGGGCCAAAGGCAGGCGCCAAACCGCTGCGCCACCCAGGGATCCCGACTTGGCGGGTCTTGACCACGTCATGCCAAGAAAGCCCTCTCAAAGTCCATTTTCTATTTTATGACGATTTAAAAGGAATGTACTGCATTTAGTTTAATGACTACAAAAATAGATTCATAAAAAAATTCATAGTATATTCCTGACTCTGGAGGTAGAAGTTTTTTGTTTTTAAGCGTTTCTTTGAGTCTTGGGGCTGCAGGATCTGTGTTTCATATTTCTGAAACAGAGCCACCTCATGTTGCATTCATAAGAGCAATAAAATAGCATAAACCTCCAAGTAGGTGAAAAAAAGCTGAGTTATTCCTGTGCTTGCATTTTTTTTTAAATTTTTATTTATTTATGATAGTCACACAGAGAGAGAGAGAGAGAGAGAGAGGCAGAGACAGAGAGGGAGAAGCAGGCTCCATGCACCGGGAGCCCGACGTGGGATTCGATCCTGGGTCTCCAGGATCGCGCCCTGGGCCAAAGGCAGGCGCCAAACCACTGCGCCACCCAGGGATCCCTGTGCTTGCATTTTTATATAAAGTGTTGGCTTTGTGAATGTTTGTCCTGACAATAAAAAAAAAAATTCTTAAAATAGAACCAGGGGATAAAATTAATAAAGCTTTAGGACATTGAAAAATGATGGCTGGCTCATAAAAGCACTATAGGCAAAAAGAAAATGACTCATTTAATTTTTTGTGTAGCTTTTTGAGTCATATAATTAAGGGGGAAATGTTTTATTTTTAAAACTGGAGAATAGTAGTAGCTGATTTCTTTTATCTACAGATGAATTTGAAACAAGTGATATGGGGGGAGGGCAAGAGTATTTTCCTTTAATGCGACTAGAAGGTGAAGGTTTTCTCCTTCATTATGGTGTCTTCAAAGTTTAGGATGGTCACAGCTATTCTTCAAAACCTTTTATAGGTCTCATAACAATCACTTAAGTCAGTAAAATACCATCTGTCTTGGTATTCTGAGATCTCTTAAAGGACAGGAAAGGTTAAGGATTTTTATTAGCAAGGCAGAATCTTCTCTTAGTCCAACTGAAAGTCACTGAAGAAGTGATCTTAGGTGATCTTAGGTGGTGTTACTGTATGGTTTTTTTTTTTTCCAATATTTCGATGTTTACATTTTCTCTTCTTTTTTAAAAAACATTTTATTTGTTTATTCACAATAGCCACACAGAGAGAGGCAGAGACCTAGGCAGAGGGAGAAGCAGACTCCTTGTGAGGAGCCAGATGCGGAACTTGATCCCTGGACCTGGGATCACACCCTGAGCCAAGCTCAGATGCTCAACCACTGAGCCACTCGGGCACCTGAAAGGTGGTTATTTACAAAGACTAGTTATGGTGGGTGTGACTCCCTACCCCTGGGCCAGAAAGAGCATGGAAGAGGACGGACAGTTCCAGGAAACAGGAAGGAGGGAGACTCTGGAGAGGGCTACCTCGAGAGGAGCTGTGACTGTCAGTCAAGGGGGCACTAGCAGCCCAAGGTGGCTGAAGGAAGGGAGGCAGAAGACTATGTAACCCAACTTTACTCCCTTGCTTCCCTTCAGGCTCCCACTGGGGCTTCTTATTTGTGAACCCCATCGGAAGCTGGAGAGCAACAGAGTGCAAGTCTTGATGGGCCATGGAAGTCACTGAGCCCTCAGCTGGAAGCACTGTGTTGAAATACAGGGTTATTTGAAGGACTGAGCATTCTTGTTTAGCAAAAATCGCAGCTCATCCTCCATTGAGTAGATCTCTTTCTTTGTTGTACTCAGGCAAATAATCTTCCTAAAGCCATTGCTGCCGCTCATACCTTTCTACTGAAGCATCCTGATGACGAAATGATGAAGAGAAATATGGCGTATTACAAGAGCTTGCCTGATGCTGAGGACTACATTAAGGACTTGGAAACCAAGTCATACGAGGTACATCTGGGTTTTTACATAGCAGGTAGTTGCAGTGTGAGTGGCTGAGAAAGCGGGTCTTGATGAACAGCTCTTGTCATCTTAGGACCTCTAACGATTTTTGATATCCTTGATGAATATTATGACAATGGAAATGATTGACTTCTTAGCACAAAGTTGACCCATTTGAGAATGAGATTTTACATCCCATGATGCTCTTAAAGCCACCTTTCTTTTAAATGCTGTATTTTAGAAATAAGGTCATTTGGGGGTACTTGGGTGGCTCAGTCATCCAACTCTTGATTTCAGCTCAGGTCAAGGTCTCAGAGTTGTGAGATCAAGCCCCACCCACATCAGTCTCCTTGCTCAGCGGGGAGTCTGCTTGGGATTCTCTGTCTCCCTCTCCCTCTGCTCCTCCCCTTAGCTCCTGCTTTCTCTCTCTAAAATAAATAAATAAGCCTTAAAAAAAAAAAAAAGAAATAAGGTCATTTGATCATTTAGTTTTAAGATCGAGGAATAAGGGCAGCCCTGGTGGCTCAGCGGTTTAGTACCGTCTTCAGCCCAAGGAGTGATCCTGGAGTCCTGGGATTGAGTCCCACGTTGGGCTCCCTGCATGGAACCTGCTTCTCCCTCTGGCTGTGTCTCTGCCTCTGTCTCTCTCTCTCTTTCTGTGTGTCTCTCATGAATAAGTAAATAAAATCTTAAAAAAAAATAAGAGAGGAATAAACTCATGTCTTGGATATCCTCCGTCCCCTATATGTATTGAGGTAGAAAAGGAATTGAAGGGCTTGGAGGACTGCTTTGACAAATTAGAGGCTACTGAAATCTCTGCATCTGCAAAAAGGAGTCTGATGGCAATGAATGAGGAAGAATCGAACTCCTTTCAGCACTTACTATTGTCCAGACCTATCTAGCTTGGGTGCCGGGGGCATGGGTACCAAGGAAGGGCAGGGCAGGGTTGAAAACAGAGATGTGTTGAAAGTGTCCATGGAGAGCTGGTAGATTCCAACCAAAGCCTGACTGTAGGGCTACCTATAGTGTGACCGGACTGGAAGCTCACTGTTTCATTGGTGGTGACCCTCAAATATAGTGTGCAGAGTCTCTATTCTGGTGGCCCTTCAGTTTTCCAGGGAAGAGTTCTCCAGCCTTTTTCAGGACTCAGGAAGTGTTGTGCTTGTCCTGAGTGTCTGAGAGCCAGTCTGGGAAGAGGGGAGGGGGCCTCACAGCTGAGCCAGAGACTTTACCTGCTTTTTGGTTCTTGGCCCTGTGCCTCAACACCCACTCTGCTGTGTCTGATCCCTGACCCTCCAGCACTCCATAGATAGAGGCTCTGGAATCAATCACCAGTTTCTGGTGAGGAGCAGTTTTGGGAGGTGGGATCCCTTGGGTGGACAGGTGGGTGTGCGAGGAAACACGGTGCTCCAACAGCCCTGTTCAGACTTTCAGCCCTGTTCTCTATTCCATGCCTAGCACCAGTCTCTGTGGTCACTAGTGCCTACAAAAGCTAACAGATGTGTGACGTAGTGTAGTGTGCGTGAGGGGTGTGTCACTTCCCCGCCAGATCCTCCTCTGTGATAATTTGGCTTTCTGTCCTTCCAAAAGTTGTTGCAATGTCTTGTCTGTTGCTTTCCTTTTCTGTTCTCCTGTGAAAAGGATTTCTGCCTTTTTACCTCTTTCACTGAGGTTTTCACTGGGCTTGGGAAGCAGAGCTGAGAGCCCAAGGTCAGTGTGCTGTGCCTAACTGCATGTGGCTAGTCCATTCTCTCCCTCCTTGGAGTCCTGCTGGCTGTGGTGGGGCTGCCCTTCCACGTGCCCACGGGTTCCTTCTCCATGTGTGGTTTTCTTCCAGCTGCCTGCAGTGGCTGCTCGTTTACCCAGCCTCTAGGCCAATAGTTCAGTTCGCTGCTTTCCTTATTTCCAGGGGCTACCACCTGCTCAGGAATTTTAGGGAGATCACCCTCTTTACCTGACCCCTGAAGCCTGGTGAAAAGTTCAGGTCTGAGGGGTGGGCCTTAGACACCCCCATTTTGGAGCAACTGAAAAAACAACTCCAAATGGAATGTGCCATATTTCCAGTCCTGCCCTGGACCTTCCATGTTTTCAGGGTCGCGCGTGTACCCAAGATCTCTGCTTATTTCTTGTGACACCAAGCAGCTTCCTCAGCCTTAGTTATTTCTCTCTCTGGTCCTGTCAACAATTAGCAGAAATTCTCTGAAGTTTCTACCACCTGGCACATGGCCACCCTCCCCAGGTAACTAGTACTGATGCACAGCATGCCTATTTTATACTTAACCGTTGGGGGAAGAGTATCTGCCACCTGTTCTCAAGCGTCTCTCTTTTCTCTGCTTCAATTTTAAAAATCAGCTTTATTGAGGTGTAACTTATTTAAAATTTATCTACCAATTTTAAGTGTATAATTTAATGAGTTTGGCCAAGGCATGCAATTGTGTAACTTCCACCATAATAACAATATAGAATATTTATATCTCATCTAAAATGTTCCCTTAGGCCCCTTTCCAGTCAAGCCTGTGTCCCAAGCACTGACCTCCGGCAGCTACTTCCCTGGTTTCTGGCACTATGGTTTTTGTTTTTTTCTTGATTTGAGTTTAATTTTATTATCAAGCATCTCCTACTTTTTGAATTAAATAAGAACTGTACCATTGTACATAGGATAGAAAAAGCTAGATGTGTGTCAGTTCCCGCTTGGTTTCATATTTAATGAAGGGTCAGTATGGTTTTCTTGGAATTAATGAGAGTGGAACTGCATGATGGTCTGGCTCTTTTTGGTTGGACAGCCTGCCTGCTCATGTGCGAGCTTCACCCGCTTCTCCGTGCTTTCCAGAGCCTGTTCATCCGAGCAGTGCGAGCCTACAATGGTGAGAACTGGAGGACGTCTGTCACTGACATGGAGCTGGCCCTTCCCGATTTCTTCAAAGCCTTTTACGAGTGTCTCGCAGCCTGCGAGGGCTCCAGGGAGATCAAGGACTTCAAGGACTTCTACCTTTCCATCGCAGGTTGGTGGCATGTTGTGTTCTACGCATACATGGGACAGCTGCCCTGGGGCACCTGCATGCCTTCCCAGTGGCTTGGGTGACCTACCAGGAACTTTTGAGCTTCAGTGTGAGTGGCTGGCTGGGTAGGTAATACGTACCCTTGACTCAGTAGGGCCTGCTGGCAAAATATCTGAGTACCATGTTCAAGCACCGGCCTGGAAGGGGGATCTACCAGATCAGCCCTGCTCGGTTATAGGCTTTTGGAAAAATAAAAATGGGTTGAAGAGCAACCTATATTCAAGAGAACATGACTCATGTTCTATAAATCGTTACTGGTTTCGCCACCATCCATGTAGTACTTGTACATTGGTGTATAGCCATCACCACCATTCATCTCCACCACTCATCACTGCATCTTCCCCAACAGACATTCTGTACCCACTGAACACCAGCTCCCCATTTTTCCCGCAGCCCCTGACAACCACCACTCAACTTTCCGTCTCTGTGAATTGGATTATTCCAATTGGATAAGTAGAATCCTATAGTATTTGTCCTCTTGTGACTGACTTTTTCACTTAGCGTGACGTCCCCAAGCCTCACAAATGTTGTAGCAAATTGATTGTCCCTTAAATCTCTTTTCATCCATAGAATTACATCTGTTTTTTTTTTTTTTTAAGATTTTATTTATTTATTCATGAGAGACCTAGAGAGAGAGGCAGAGACACAGGCAGAGGGAGAAGCAGGCTCCATGCAGGGAGCCCGATATGGGATTCGATCCTGGGACGCCAGGATCATGCCCTGGGCCGAAGGCAGGCACTAAACCACTGAGCCACCCGGGGATCCCTACATCTGTTTTTTCCCCTGGCTATTGAAAAAACTGGATCATTTGCACTGTAGAGATTCCTATAGTCTGGATTTTGCTGATTGTATCCCTTCGTCCTCTGTTCTCTGTGTTTCTTATAACTTGGTAGCTGAATGTAGAGGCTTGATCAAGCTCAGGTTTGATTTTCTTTCATTGTGGAGGTTGGGGCACAGGACTACTTCCTAGTTGGTGCTCAGTTCTGGTGTCAAAAGGCACAGGATGTCTGGTCATCTCTTTCTCTGTAATGTCGGCAGTTGCTGGTGCTCATGCTGGACCTCACATGGCCCCTGTTAGCCAGTGTTCTGCTGCTGGGAGGTCCTTCCTTCTAGCATCCCTTCTTGCCTATGTCAGGAAATACTCCTTACACTCAGACATAAAGGGTGCTTACCTGGAGCTGAAGTGTTTTGACTATACATAAAAGGCAGTTATTAGAAAAGGTAACATTTATTATGCTCTAACTAGATGCCAGGCCCTGTCCTATGCTTTTTATGGGTATTATCTCAATTTTGCCATCCTGTGAGAAAGGTACTAGCTTTCTCCCCATTTTACCGCTGGGAAAGTTGAAGCTTAGAGAGCTTAAGTACTATGCTGATAGTCCTCAGGGGGAAGGGCTGGGATTTGAAACTGGGCAGTCTTCACCGCAGGCTCTTCCCTCTCACCTCCAGTGAAATAGTCTCTCCTCATGGATTACATTGGACTTAATCTCATCCTTTATTTTCTTTTCTTTTCAAATAGGTAACATATATGCACATAGTGAAAGACACAAAAGGATATTCTGTAAAAAATAAGTCAAGGTCCTGACTTGAAGATAGATGGTACACATACATGAAGATACCTCAAGATGGATTCATTTATAGAAATGTGGGTGAAGGTGAACCCCCAGGGGGCAAAATGGTACCCTGGGGCTACTAGTAGCTGAATTATTATCTTTTCTAGGTTGAAGAGGAGGAAGGAGTTGCAGGCAGTTAGAAGGAAGTCTTACTTCTATCCACGTCTCTTTTACCCATTCCACTCACCCCAAAGATAAGCATTTTTATTAGCTTCTGGCTTATACCTCTAAAAGTTTTTTTTTGATATAAAATAAGCAAAGATCACTTTATCTTTGATATGCCTAAGATATGTATCTATAGCTGTATTTTTATATGTAGATATATAATTTAGGAATCTATTTAATTTAAAATTTTTATTTTACAATAATTTTTTATTTTCATTTTTAATTTTTAAAAAATGATTTTATTTATTTATTCATGAAAGACACACAGAGAGAGGCACAGACACAGGCAGAGGAAGAAGCAGGCTCCATGCAGGGAGCCCAGTGGGATTCAATCCCAGGACCCCAGGATCATGACCTGAGCCAAAGATGATGCTCAACCACTGAGTCACCCAAGTGCCCCTTAATTTTTAATTTTTAAATAATTCCAAATGTATAGAGAGGCAGCAAGAGTAGTATAAAACTCTCATAAACTCGTTACCCAGATTCACCAATTTTTCACACTGATTGTGCCACATTTACATTATCATTCTCTCTGTAACTGTGTGTATGATTATTATTTTTATTTCAAAACCACTTGAGAGTATGTTGCATACATCATGACCCTTTACCCCATAATAGTTCAGTATATTTCCTAAGAATAACAATATTTTGTATAACTGTAACTATAATAGTTATTAAATTCAGCAACTTAATATTGATGTTATACTTTTATCCAGTCTATAGTTTATATTCTAGTTTTGCCAATTATTCCAATAATGTCCTCTAGCAACTTTTTCTTTCTTAGTATAGTCCAGTCCAATACCACATTTCCTATTTATTTGTCATTTTTCTTTAGTGTTCTTTAATCTCGAACAGTTCCTTGGCCTTTGTTTTTATGCCATTGATTTTTTTTTATGCCATTGATATTTTTGTAGAACATAGGCCTGTCACTTTCTAGAATATTCCTCAATTTGGGTTTTTATTACATTCAGGTTGTGGATCTTTGGCTGGAACACTACAGAAGTATGCTTCTCAGGGTATCCAGATGTGCATGGTATCTGTTTGCCCCTTACCAGTGATGTTAATTTTTAGGCATTTGGTTAAGGTAATTTCCAGTTTTTAGCTTCTCTGCAATACTGTTTTTCCTTTTGATATTAATAAATAATTTGTGAAGAGATACTTGAAAACTAGGACAGTTTGCTGTTCATCAAACTCTATCTCCACTCCTTCCCATACTACCACACACATATTGATTTAGCATATATTGAAGATTCTTGCCTGATTTTTTTTCCCTATAAAGGTTGTCTGTGTGTGTGTAGTTGTATATATATATATATATATATTATATAATATATATAATATGTATATATATAATACGTAGACATAATATATGTCTATTTTTTCTGTATTTTTATGGTTGTTTCTTTCCTAGTGAATAGGTACCATACTTTATACACTGTTCTGTCTCTTGCTTTTTCCACTTAGCCATATATCCTAACTAGCACATAGAGATAGTGATTCTTTTTTATTGCTACTGAGTATTCCACTGAGGGGTGGGGAAAATGATGCAGCGCAGTTTATTCAACTCTTGGACATTTGGTTGGTGCCAGTCTTTTGCTATTACATGTAATACTGCAATCAGAAACTTTAGGCTTTTTTTTTTTTTTTAACTAAGGTATGTTTTCAAAGTGGGATTGATATATAACATAAGTGGGATTGATAGTTCAAAGAGTAAATGTCTCTGTAAATTATTTAGTATTTTATTTTATTTAAGATTTTATTTATTTATTCTTGAGAGACAGAGAGACAGGCAGAGACACAAGCAGAGGGAGAAGCAGGCTCCATGCTGGGAGCCTGACATGGGACTCGATCCTGGGTCTCCAAGATCACACCCTGGGCCGAAGGTGGCACTAAACCGCTGAGCCACCTGGGCTGCCCTATTTAGTATTTTAAATTACCATTTTGTATTCCTAGCAAAAATGTGTGAGAGTGCCTGTCCTCTACAGTTTTGCTGACAAAATGTATACCATCATCTTGGAGCCTTTTGCTGTGAGCTACATGAAGGGAGAAAAGGCAGGGGGCCAAGGATCATATGGGAGGATTTTAGGGACCAATCCCCAAAGTGGTAGAAGTAGCATTCATCTGTTGTTGCAGTCCACGTTTCATTGGCACAAATAGTTATATGGCGTCAGCCCCACTGCAAGGGAGGCTGGGAACTGAAGCCTTTGACATCTTTCTCTATTTTGATGTTTAGGCCTACCTATTCTCTTTTCAAGGTTGTACAGATTCTGTTTTTTGTATGTACCATAATTGATTAATCAGTATCCTGTTGATGGGCATTTAGGCTATTTCCAACTCTGTTTGGTGTTGCAAACAGTGCTTATGTGTGCCTGTGTCTAGAGAAAATTTCCTAGAAGTGCCAGAGGATATGTGCATTTTAACGTTTGATGCATTTTGCCAAATTGCTATCTAAAAAAAGTGTTTCTGTTTTGCTTCTTCCAACAGAATATGAGAGTATAAGTTTCACCATTTTCTTCTTAACACTGACTGTTATCAAATTTTAAAAATTTTGCTGATTTAAGTGGCAGGTGGTAGCTACACTTGTGGTGAGCATGGCATAACATATATACTCGTTGAATCACTATGTTGTACACCTGAAACTAATGCAACATGTGTGTCAAGCTACTTCAACAAAACAGGGTTTTTTTGTCTTTTTTTTTTTTTTGCCAACTTAGCAGTTTAACATATTTTAAGTGGGATTGTGTTTCTTAATCACAAATGAGGTTTAACATCTTTTCACAATGTTTATTAGCCATTTTTACTGTTTCTTTTCTTTGGCCGTCTTTATAATGGGTGTCTGTCTTTTTCTTACTGAATTTCAGTAACTTTGTATATTAAGGATTTTAGTCTTTTTATCGTAAGAGTTGCAATATTTTACCTTTATCATCTTTGCCTTTTACCTGGATCATTGAGGGGGGCAGTAGTAGTATAAGAAACTGATCAATGCACTGTTCTGAAAATTTGTGTGTATTGTTTCAGATCATTATGTAGAAGTCCTGGAATGCAAAATACAGTGTGAAAAGAACCTCACCCCGGTTATAGGAGGCTATCCAGTGGAGAAATTCGTGGCTACCATGTATCATTATTTGCAGTTTGCTTATTATAAATGTAAGTAATTATCTTCTACAACATCTTGGGCAAGATCCTTAATCCTCCTAAGGCTCAGCTTCCCATCTGTAAAAAATAGGGATAATAACCCTTACTTCCCATCTGTAAAAAATAGGGATAACTCTTACCTCTGGTTGTTGAGAGAATCTGTCAAGGTTGTGTTGATAGCCCTGGTGCTGTGCTTTGCACAAAAAGGCAGCAAGGCCTGGTGATTCAGGGCACGAACCCTGGAGCTGGACTGCCTGGGTTTAAATTTCATCTTCATCACTTACTAACTGCTCCGTGCCTTACTTTCCTCATCTGTAAATTAGACATAATTGTACTAACCTCATGAGATTGTCATGAGGATGAAGTGAGTTGATTTGTGGGGTATTCATACCCCAGTACATGGCATTATCTCCTCCCTATCATTAGCCTTACCATCCAGACTGAGTTTTATTCCATTTGGTCCTCCTTGGACCTGAAATTCGAGTTAATGGATCAGAACATTCCAAGGAGTCAAAGGGAAACAAATGTTAAGAGAGAAAGTCATTCAGAGTTCAGGCTTCAGAGTATATCTCTTTGCCTTTTCCTTCTCTTCCTATAAGTGACATTGCCAAGTGCCACTCGTCTGAGTGGCAGGTGCCTCAGTGCAGTGGTGAGTGCAGGAGGATCCTTCCCACTCAGGAGTGGGTGGTCCTGGGGATTCAGGGATGTGTTGTTGGGAGTGACTGGTTGACCTTGGCACCCACAGCCCTCCTTCCCCACTGTGGCTGTTTTGTTCTGTGTTGAGTCCTCTCCTCTTACAATAGCCACCTGCCTTTTCCTCTCACCTCCCCTCTTCAGGATACACTGAAAGATTTGCCTGCTGAAGGTTAAAAAAGGGACAAAAAAGAAAAAATATTTTTTCTTCTCTATGTATATATATTATTTTTATTTATTTAAAAAAATTATTTATTCAGTCATGAGAGACTGAGAGAGGCAGAGACATAGGCAGAGGGAGAAGCAGGCTCACCATGGGGAGTCTGATGTGGGACTTGATCCAAGGACCCCGAGATCTTGACCTGAGCCAAAGGCAGACACTCAACCACTGAGCCCCCCAGGTGCCCCTATATATATAATTTTAAATTTTGCTAATCAGGATTGTTTCTGAGAAGGCTCTGTAGCAGTCACTTACACCAGAGCTTAATGAGTGAAGGAACTTGCCTCTTTCAGCAGTGAATCTATTATTGCGCAGTCTGAACCTCACTTAAGGATGCAATGAGATGAACAGGAGGGAGAGGTGTGTCTTCAACAGGTGTCCTTCCTCTTGCACAGAGGGCAGGGGTGAATTTTTGTTTGCCACTGTAATCCTGGCACCAACTCTTAGGTAAAAGATTATTGAGCATAGAAGACAAGAAGCCTTCTCCTCCTCCTCCTCCTTCTTCTTCTTCTTCTTCTTTTTTTTTTTTTTTTTTTTTAGACAGAGAGGGAGTGAGCTGGGAGCTGGGTAGAGGGGCAGAGGAAAAGAGATACTCCCAAGCAGGCTCCATGCTGAGGCTCCTCTTCCTGTAAGTGACACTGCCAAGTGCCACTTGTTAATAAGCATGGAGCCTGACATGGGGCTCAATCCTATCACCCCAAGATCATAACCTGAGCTGAAATCAAGAGTCAGATCCCCTGCGACTGAGCCACCCAGGTGCCCCAAGTCTTATTCTATACAATCTAGGAACACCCTTTCACGTGAGACACACTAAGCTCATAGAGGGTCCCCAGCAAATATTGATTTGGCTGCATTCTAGTGTCAAGGGGACAGGTCTCACTAGCAGTGTTTTTGCTAGAGCAAAAAGGGCTAGAGCCCTCCTTTTTATTTTTTATGTATGTATGTATGTATGTATGTATGTATGTATGTATTTTTATTGGAGTTCAATTTGCAAACATATAGCATAACACCCAGTGCTCATCCCATCAAGTGCCCCCCTCAGTGCCCATCACCCAGTCACCCCCCCCCCCCCGCCTACCTCCCTTTCTACCACCCCTTGTTCGTTTCCCAGAGTTAGGAGTCTCTCATGTTCTGTCTCCCTCTCTGGTATTTCCCACTCATTTTCTCTCCTTTCCCCTTTATTCCCTTTCACTATTTTTTATATTCCTCAAATGAATGAGACCATATAATGTTTGTCCTTCTCCGATTGACTCATTTCACTCAGCATAATACCCTCCAGTTCCATCCACGTTGAAGCAAATGGTGGGTATTTGTCGTTTCTAATGGCTGAGGAATATTCCATTGTATACATAGACCACATCTTCTTTATCCGTTCATCTTTCGATGGACACTGAGGCTCCTTCCATAGTTTGGCTATTGTGGACATGGCTGCTAGAAACATCGGGGTGCAGGTGTCCCGGCGTTTCACTGCATCTGTATCTTTGGGGTAAATCCCCAACAGTGCAATTGCTGGGTCGTAGAGCCCTCTTTTTTAGTATTAGTGATTGATTAGTGCTTTCTTTCAAAAAGACTCGTAGTACAAGCTTGTTACAGCAAACATTTCAGAGATATACAGATAAACATCCAAAGCAAACCACCCATTTGCATCCCTCCCTTCCCCCAAATCCCAGTATTAACTATTTGCTTACATTCAGCCACACTTGGAAGAACCCTGTTTTAATGAGAAATATGGAAATTATGTACATTTAACAAACTTAATTCTGGAAATTTAAAAGCATACATTAGAGAGATGGTATAATAAATTGTAGTATGCCCAAACCGAACTTCAACTTTTATCAACACTTTGCCAATCTTGGATTCACAGTTTAGAAGTTTTCTGTTGGGGCACCTGGGTGACTTAGTTGGTTAAGCACCTGCTTTTGGCTCAGGTCATGATCCCAGGGTCTTGGGATCGGGCTCCCTTCGGGGCTCCCTACTCAGTGGGGAGCCTGCTTCTCCCTTTTCCTCTGCCCTTCCACACCTCTCGCTTGTGCTCTGTTTCCTGCTCTCTCCACCTCCTTCTTTCAAATAAATAAAATCTTTAAGAAAAATTAAGTTTTCTGTGGATGAAAACATAAGCTAGTGTTGTTGTTGTTTTGAGTAAGCGGGTGTTTTTATCTCATTTTCACGAAAACCTGTGTTGGCACCTTCCTGAGCTAGGCCCCGTGTTGGACTCTGAAACTTGGGGAAGAATCCGTCAGGTGTTCTAGCCCTCTGAGCTGCTTCTGTGTGCTCAAAGCCAGAACACTGGGAGTTTAGAGGTGTTTCAGATACTTCCAGGCTCTGGCAGCTTACTGGTCCTTGGAATCCTCACATACTCTGAAAATCGCCCTGCATATGGAGACTGTGGCAATGACTTAACACCAGTAGACCAAAACCTCTAGCTCTGCTGGCTGCTTCACAGAAAATCTTTGCTTTCTGGGTTTTTAGGTAAACAGTATGAGTAATATTTACTTCTTGAAATTAGCTTCCTGCAAGTTGGGCCTGTTGTGAACTCTGTCTAGATTATCTACCACACTGAATTTTTTGAGGGCGAGGGCAGATGTTATTTATACTTGAACCCCAGCCTCATTGGCCTTGAAATAAGTACTTCCCCCTGCCTTGTAGACCTTGTGAATAACATGTGTCCTTAAGTGCTCGTTTTTTAAGGTTGTGGTTACAGCAGACACCCACTGGGTGGCACAATGTATTCATGCCCACGTTTTGGTTACCCTGGCCAACCAGACCTTTAGCAAAGGTAGTGGTTTGTAAATTGGAGTGTCCTGTGCCAGCATATATACAGGGGCTTGTGGTTTATCACCTCTTTCCCCTTTCCCACTCCACCCCCAAAACAAATCCCAACCCCTGCAGATCCCCTATGCTGGAAGTGCCGCCATAGATGGGGCAACTCTAAGGAAGGATGCTACAAGTGGGAACCCCAGTTTCCAGGAGATGGCAACACCAAGTGACTTCAGATTTCTTCCAGCCCAGAAGGCCCACCATCTTTTGGGTTTTCTAGGTTTAGTTAGCTTTAGGCAGGCTGCCCGGATCTGGGGATTGTGGTGTCATCCAGGGGGGACCCAGGACATCCTCCCTACCTCCTTACCTCCCTACCTCCCTCAGCCCCAGGACAGTCCAGGCCTTGAGACCCAGCCTTCCCAGCTCAGGTCAGCAGAGCCTCAAGTAGAATATAGCAGACATTTCTGCAAAGGCATCTGCCCAATGAGGAACTTCTATGTTTCAAAACTGCTCCCGGGCTGCCATGGAGACCCAGCCTGTGACCGGCTCACCCAGGCAGGCTTCTGGTGTGTCACAGGCTTTCCCAACCAGTGGTGTGGAGAAGAGGCTTGCCCATAGATATTTCCTTTAGGAAGCTGTGTTGGCGATGGGAATTTCAGGGCACGGTTTGCTGATTCCTGTTCTCTTTTCTCCCCGGCCTCAGTGAACGACCTGAAGAACGCAGCCCCCTGTGCGGTCAGCTACCTGCTCTTTGACCATAACGACAAGGTCATGCAGCAGAACCTGGTGTATTACCAGTACCACAGGGACAAGTGGAGCCTCTCGGATGAGCATTTCCAGCCCAGACCAGTAGGTGCCTGGGCGCTGGGCATCATGTTTGCGGGCCTCCTCTTCATTCTCACTTTCAGGGGACTGCTTGGAATGCATAAAAGGAAATCCTTTTTTTTTTTTCTGGGTTTTTGTTGTTGTTTTTTGTTTTGTTTTTGTCTTTTAATATTTTACTGCTCTGTTCTGATTCCCAAATCAGTAAAAACTGCAAATTTCAAACATTACAAAAATGTTTTGCTAACAAAGCGAAATTCCTTCGAAATCCCAAACCTTTTCTTTACCCCTTGCCTTATAGCTATGTATTTGCTGATATATACAGCGTGCATTTATTTATCTATATATCAGAATGTACAGAAACAGGGTCATACTTTACCTGCTGTTGTGCACCTTGCTTATCTTCTCAACAATTCATCATGAACGTTTTTCTTTTCTTTTTTTTTTTTTTCATGAACGTTTTTCATGTCACACTCATACACCTGCTTGTTTTTTAACACCTCCAAGGTAGATTTGTTTATGGATGGGCCATCATTTAATTCACTTGATGGACAAGCTCAGCTTTTCATGTGTTGTCACGGAATTCAGGGATTATGTATTACTTTTTTTTTTTTAAGATTTTATTTATCTATTCATGAGAGATACAGAGAGGCAGAGACACAGGCAGAGGGAGAAGCAGGCTCCACGCAGAGAGCCCAACATGGTACTCGATCCTGGGACTCCAGGATCACGCCCTGGGCCAAAGGCAGGGGCTAAACCGCTGAGCCACCCAGGCATCCCTATGTATTACTTTTTTTTTTTCCTATGTATTACTTTTAAAAGACCTTTTCTAATTAGTCTTTGCCCTTAACTTGTATTTTCTTTTTTTTTTTTTAAGATTTTATTTATTTATTCATGAGAGATACAGAGAGAGGCAGAGACATAGGCAGAGGGAGAAGCAGTCTCCCTGCAGGGAGCCTGATGCAGGACTCGATCCTAGGACCCTGGGATCATGACCTGAGCCAAAGGCAGATGCTCAATCACTGAGCCACCCAGGCGTCCCTTAACTTGTATTTTCATTGGGATTTTTTATGTGCTGCCCTAGTTTGCCATATATAGGTTTTCCTTCATACCTCATTCCCCTGCCAACACACACACACATAATCTCTCTTCTCTCTCTCTCTCTGTCTCTTTATGTCTCACTCTTTCACTCACTTGGGGCTGGCCACTCTTTTTTAATTGAGATATGATTCACAGAGAGTAAAATTCATGCCTTTAAAATATACAATTTATTGGTTTCCAGTAGATTGACAGAGTTGTACAATCATGACCACCATCCAATTTTAAACATTTGCATCACCCCCTAAAGAAATCCATACCCTGTTTCCCCCTCCTCCCAGTTCTGACATCAAAGGGTTGGTCATAGAAACTGTTCTGTTTTTGTCTGAACAGGAAGCAGTTCAGTTCTTTAACGTGACTACACTCCAGAAAGAGTTGTATGACTTTGCTAAGGAAAATATAATGGATGATGATGAGGTAAGTTTTCATGTTTAGCACACGTCTGGCTAAGAGAAAATATTACTCACATCTTTGCAGAAATCACCTGAAGGCCAAGTCATCCCTGAAACAGAAGGGGACCTTGAGAAATACGGTTTCTGTAGGCATTTTAAGAAAAATCAGAGCACTGGCAGGGGGACACAGCTTTCTTTTTTTTTTTAATAATAAATTTATTTTTTATTGGTGTTCAATTTGCCAACATATAGAATAACACCCAGTGTTCATCCCGTCAAGTGCCCCCCTCAATGCCCGTCACCCATTTACCCCCACCCCCCGCCCTCCTCCCCTTCCACCACCCCTAGTTTGTTTCCCAGAGTTAAGAGTCTTTATGTTCTGTCTCCCTTTCTGATATTTCCTACCCATTTCTTCTCCCTTCCCTTATATTCCCTTTCACTATTATTTATATTCCCCAAATGAATGAGACCATATAATGCTTGTCCTTCTCCGATTGACTTATTTCACTCAGCATAATACCCTCCAGTTCCATCCACGTTGAAGCAAATGGTGGGTATTTGTCGTTTCTAATGGCTGAGTAATATTCCATTGTATATATAGACCACATCTTCTTTATCCATTCATCTTTCGATGGACACCGAGGCTCCTTCCACAGTTTGGCTATTGTGGACATGGCTGCTAGAAACATCGGGGTGCAGGTGTCCCGGCGTTTCACTGCATCTGTATCTTTGGGGTAAATCCCCAACAGCGCAATAGCTGGGTCATAGGGCAGGTCTATTTTTAACTCTTTGAGGAACCTCCACACAGTTTTCCAGAGTGGCTGCACCAGGTCACATTCCCACCAACAGTGTAAGAGGGTTCCCTTTTCTCCGCATCCTCTCCAACATTTGTGGTTTCCTGCCTTGTTAATTTTCCCCATTCTCACTGGTGTGAGGTGGTATCTCTTTGTGTTTTTGATTTGTATTTCCCTGATGGCAAGTGATGCAGAGCATTTTCTCATGTGCATGTTGGCCATGTCTATGTCTTCCTCTGTGAGATTTCTCTTCATGTCTTTTGCCCATTTCATGATTGGCTTGTTTGTTTCTTTGGTGTTAAGTTTAATAAGTTCTTTATAGATCTTGGAAACTAGCCCTTTATCTGATATGTTATTTGCAAATATCTTCTCCCATTCTGTAGGTTGTCTTTTAGTTTTGTTGAGTGTATCCTTTGCTGTGCAAAAGCTTCTTATCTTGATGAAGTCCCAATAGTTCATTTTTGCTTTTGTTTCTTTTGTCTTCGTGGATGTATCTTGCAAGAAGTTACTGTGGCCAAGTTCAAAAAGGGTGTTGCCTGTGTTCTCGTCTAGGATTTTGATGGAATCTTGTCTCACATTTAGATCTTTCATCCATTTTGAGTTTATCTTTGTGTATGGTGCAAGAGAGTGGTCTAGTTTCATTCTTCTGCATGTGGATGTCCAATTTTCCCAGCACCATTTATTGAAGAGACTGTCTTTCTTCCAGTGGATAGTCTTTCCTCCTTTATCGAATATTAGTTGACCATAAAGTTCAGGGTCCACTTCTGGGTTCCCTATTCTGTTCCATTGATCTATGTGTCTGTTTTTGTGCGAGTTCCACACTGTCTTGATGACCACAGCTTTGTAGTACAACCTGAAATCTGGCATTGTGATGCCCCCAGGTATGGTTTTCTTTTTTAAAATTCCCCTGGCTATTCGGGGTCTTTTCTGATTCCACACAAATCTTAAAATAATTTGTTCTAACTCTCTGAAGAAAGTCCATGGTATTTTGATAGGGATTGCATTAAACGGGGACACAGCTTTCTAGGAAACCCAGGTCATTAGCACCACATTTCCTGACAGTGAATATAGAGGAACCCATCATAGAAGTCATCCAGTGATCATTTTTTAACTTTATAAAGTCATAGTGGATTTTCAATGACTCAGTGCCCTGAAAACACTTGGAAAGACTCATTCATCCCAGGTTTTCTGGAATATTATTATCAATCTCTTTTTTTCTTTTTCTTTTTGTAAATTTGGTCCCTGCTGTCAGTCATTTTATCATTCTCTGAGATTGCTTATTCCTATTCAGCTGTCTCTCTCTCTCTCTTTTTTTTTTTAAGTTTTTATTTATTTAAGTAATCTCTATAGCCAGTGTGGGGCTTGATCTCATGACCCTGAGTCCAGTCACATGCTCCTCTTACTGAGCCAGCCGGGCTCCCCTCAGCTGATTCCTTTTCTGACAAAGATTCCACTACTGATGGAGCAGTCATTTTGGGGTGGGGCAGCCTAGTCACAGGATAGTCCTTATTACGGGTAGTATTTAGAGAGATGTGTTTGAAACAAACCAGAACCTGCTTCCTAAGGCAGCTAGGGACTTGCCAGCTTTTAGAGCTTGTTCTGACTTGACCCCTTACTTCATAGATGAAGGGCCTGGGGGACAGGAAAGTTCTATGAGCTGCTAGACCAGACTTAGAGGCCCTGAGACTCCAGGTTTTCTCTTTCACTGCCCTGCTTTTTGGTGAAGGACTTCTAAATAAGATATTATCTTGGGAAAAAAAAAGATATTATCTTGGAATTTGTTTTCCATGCTCAAATCTGCATGGGGTGGACTCATCACTAGCATGTGCTAAATTTCCCAGGGCTTTGGTTTTCTGCCTATAAAATGGGACTAATAATGTTGACCTCACTGGGTTGGGGAAATGAAGTACCATGTTGCATGTGGAAGTGCTTTATAGACTAAGAAGGGGTCATTGTGCTCATGAGTCTTAGGTTGTGTTAAGAAGCAGAGCCTGAGATAAAGTCACAAGGATGCTGCAAAGGAAGGAGTGCTGGCTACATACAAGTTTGGCTGCTCTCATTTGGAAAGTAGAGAAAAATGTATTTAGAAAAAGGAAGAGCTGAGTTCCTAATAATCCAGAGCAAGCCACTATTGCTATTTTGGTATATATACTTCCAGTGTTTCCTGTACATCTTCCAAAATGTATTCATAATAAACCCATCTGGGGATCCCTGGGTGGCGCAGCAGTTTAGCGCCTGCCTTTGGCCCAGGGCGCGATCCTGGAGACCCGGGATCGAATCCCACGTCGGGCTCCCGGTGCATGGAGCCTGCTTCTCCCTCTGCCTATGTCTCTGCCTCTCTCTCTCTCTCTCTGTGTGACTATCATAAATAAATAAAAAAAAAATTTTAAAAAAAATAATAAACCCATCTGTAATAGATACCATGGCTATTCCACTTAATATGGTAATATGAGAAAGTACCCTTGTTATGTTTTTCTAGAACAGATTTATTGAAATATTATTCACACACCATAAATTCTCCTTTTTAAAGTATACAATATAGTGGATTTTAGTATACTCACAAGTTGTGCATCCATCACTTCTAATTTTAGGGCATTTTTATCACCCCCCCAAAAAATTGCAAACCTGTTAGTAGTCATTCCCCATTCCTTCTTCTCTGCCAACCTCTCCCTCACCTCTGTCTCCACCCCCTGGCAACTACTAATCTACTTTCTGTCTCTGGATTTGTCTGTTCTGGGCATTTCATATAAGTGGAATCTTATGCTAAGTGATTTTCTATGACTAGCTTCTTTCACTGAGCATAATGTTTCCAGGTTCAACTATGTTATATTATATATTATGTTACGTGTAAAATTCCCTTTTATTGCTGAATAATATTCCACTGTACATATATATCACATTTTGTTTACCTGCTCCTCTGTTGATGGACATTTGTACTGGGTTGTTTCCACTTTTTTGACTACTTTGAATAATGATGCTATATGAACATTTGTGTACATGTTTTTGTTTGGACAAAAGTTTTTAATTCTCTTAAATACCAAGAGAGTATATATGTGGAAATGGTCATACAGTAGCTCTGCAGTTAACTTGTTGGGGGAATTCCAGACTGTTTTCCAAACTGTCTGCACCATTTTGCATTCCCACCAGTGATGTATGAAATTTCCAACTTGCCGTATCTTTGTCTGCACTCACTGGTGTTTGTCTTTTTTATTTTAGCCATTCTAGTAGATGTGAAGTAGTATTTCATTGCAGTTTTGATTTTCATTTCCCTAATGACCAATGATGTCGAGTATTTTTTCATATGTTTAATAGCCATTTGTATATCATCTTTGGAGAGATGTCTAGTCTATTCAAATTCTTTTTCCAGTTTTTTAAATTGGGTTTCTTGTCTTTATTGTTGAAGTGTAAGAGTTCCTTATGTATTCTGGTTATAAGTCCTCTGGCAGATATACGAATTGCAAATGTTTTCTTGCAATCTGTGGGTTGTCTTTTCATTTTCTTAATGGTGTCTTGAAGCATAGGAGTTTTAAATTTTGATGAGGTCCAATGTATCTTTTTTTCTTTTTTGTTTGTGTTTTTGGTATCAATATCTAAGAAACTATCACTTACTCCAAGATCATGAAAATTTACTCCTACTTTTTAAGATTTCTATAATTTTAAGACATTTTAAAAAAGATTTTTTTTTTTTGTTTGAGAGAGAGAGTGCACAAGCAAGGGAAAGGTAGAAGGAGAGATAAGCAGACTCCCTGCTGAGCAAAGAGCATGATGTAGGACTTCATCCCAGGATCCTGGCATCATGACCTGAGCCAAAGGTAGATGCTTAACCAGCTGAGCCACCCAGGTGCCCCAATTTTAAGACTTTAGATCTGCAATCTATTTTGACTTAATTTTACATATGATGTGAGGTAGGGGTTCAGTTTCATTCTTTTATATATTGATATCCAATTTCCCATCACCATTTGTTGAAAAGATTTTCTTTTCCATTGAATTGTCTTGGCACTCTGTAGGAAATAAATTGACCATAAATGCGAGGGTTTATGTCTAGACACTGAATTCTAACCCATTGATCCAGATTTCTATCCTGATGCCAGTACCACACTGTCTTGAATACTGTAGCTTTGTACTACATCTTGAAATTGAAAGTGCGAGTCTTCTAACTTCATTCTTCTTCTAGATTATTTTGGCTATTCTGGATCCCTTGCATTTCCATATAAACAATAGGATCAGTTTGCCAATTTCTACAAAGGCTGCTGGGATTTTTTATAGGAATTGTGCTAAATTTGAAGATCCTTTAGATAGTATTGACATCTTAACAGTATTAAGTCTTCTGATCCATTAACATGGGATATCTTTCTATTTCTTTAGGTTTTCTGTAATTTCCTTCAATAATGTTTTCTTAAATTTCATTATTCCTGATGCTGTTGCAAATGGAATTTTTTCATTTTTATTATTCAATTGTTCATTGCTAGAATATAGAAATACAATTGATTCTGTATATTAATATTGTAATTCTGCAAATTTGTTGAACTTGTTTATTCTAACAGTTGTTTGGGTATATGTGTATGTGTGTGTGAGTGTGTGTGTCTATTGCTTAGGAGTTTCTATATGCAAGATCATGTTATTTATGAATAGAGGTGATTTTACTTCTCTTCCAATCTGGATGACATTTTTTTTTTTTTTTTTTTTTGCTAATTGCCCTGACTAAAACCTCCAGTAAAATGTCAAATAGAAATAGATAGACATCCTTGTTTTGTTCCCAATCTTGTTCAATTTTGTGTTAGCATTAAGAGTGCTGCTAGCTGTGGGGTTTTTTTTTGTAGATGACCTTTGTCAAGTTGAGAAAGTTCCCCTTCTATTCCTAGTTTGTCAAATATTTTTACCATGAAGTGGTGTTGAATTTTGTCATTTGCTTTCTTCTGCATCTATTGAGAAGATTGTGTAGTTTTGTTAACCTTGTTTGTTAATGTTTATTATAAAAATTATTTTTTAATGATTCCATGGTAGGGATTTTTTAAAGTAAAGTTTTTTTTTTTATAGGTTTTTAGGTTGTTTCCAATTTTTTGCTTTCACAAATAACATCACTGTGACTAAATTTGTTACCTTTTTTCTGGTCATTTCCTTAGAATAAATTCCCATGGGTGGAATTCCTGGGTCTAAGACTATCAACATTTTTTTAAAAGATTTTATTTATTTATTCATGAGATACAGAGAGAGAGAGAGAAAGAGAGAGAGAGAGAGGGAGAGAGGGAGGCAGAGATGCAGGAGGAGGGAGAAACAGGCTCCATGCAGGGAGTCCGATATGGGACTCAATCCCGGGTCTCCAGGATCACTCCCCGGGCCGAAGATGGCACTAAATCGCTGAGGGACCCGGGCTGACCAGACTATCAACATTTTGAAGGCTTTTGATGTACAAAGACAATATGTTTAGAAAAAATCATAGATATTATTACAAGAGAACTTTTACTTATTTGGTAAGGCTTTGTCATGTCACAGATGAGGAAATAAATTCAGAAAGGTAGAGTGACTTGCTCAAAGTTAGCTAGTTAGTAATTATCCATTGAACACCAGGCTTATTCTTGGCTTTTGTATTCTTGGACTTGACACTGTCAAGATAAAAAAAGGAGCCTGTTGGAAGTCCTGGAAGTAATTAACTTATTAATCAAAGCTCTAAAATTGTGAAAGAATTAATCCATCTCTAAAGAACAAGCTATTTTCTTTCCTATATAATATCAAATTATGGCAAGTAATTATTTGAAATAAAGTATAATCAATATAATAAAGTTCTTAGTTTAATCTTTAAAATTTCCAAAGGACAAAATACTACATTGAAACAAAACAATATGATTTAGCTACTGAAGTTAGGGGCATTCTCCTTCATTATCTTTCTGGGGTTGCAATGTGTTCTTAGAGTTCCTGAAAGTTTGCACACTGATTAAAATTTTTGCAGATGCTTATTATGATTTCAGAAACTTATGAAACAGGCTGAAATAGGTGCTTCAAGTTTTAGGTTCTGATGGTTTTCTTAGGGAAGGTCTAAAAAAATAGATTTAATTTGCAGGATTGATTTATTGAAGGAGTGCTCTCAGGTAGGACAGAAGTGAGGTTCAAGGGAAGGAGCCATGAATATATATGGTCTCAGCTGGAGTCAAGCTTAGCCTGATCCCATGGGACCTCTGGAGCATGAATTGTACCACAGAGCTCTGTGTGCATTTTGTAGGCAGCCTATCATTCTCTCCTTGGTTGTTGGCAGCCTAGAGAAGTTGGTGTGTAAACTTCCTGGTGGGGCTGCTCCTTTTGGTTAAGGTCAATTGTCCAGAGAAGGGGCAGCTTTCAGCCATCAGCAACTAACACCCCAAGCATCTGGGGCTAGATCTGAGAAGGTTGATCTGAGCTAGGCTGTCAGTGCCTCCACTATAACAGGCCACAGAGGGGATTATGTTTCTTTCCTCTGTATCACCTTGAGTACCTATTAGTGTGCTAAGAGCAAACAATACCATCATCCATGTCACAGCAGCCATACAGTAGGAAACAGTAACTCTGGGAACAGCTGTCATGGCCATACGTATAATCCCTTTACTATATTTTCCTTTTGGAGTCCCGAAAGCAAGTGAAGAACGTTGTTTTTTCAATCAGTAATCTTCCACTTACATAATCTCAGGGATAACATGATAGAATTATTTGATGAAAATAATAAGCCACCCCCTCTTTACATCTCATGTACTTGGGAGATTTCCCAACTATTCTCAGATGCTGAGATTTTATAACAGGAAGCATGTTAAAATATCAAAAAGAGCAAATAGACTCTTGGACTGTGATGGCAACCTCTGTGAAGGAAGCCAAGCTTTAGCAGGGGGCTGATTACTATCAGTGGGGCTGACCCTCATGGGAGTGTGACTTGGCCTCCTTGGTGATTCACTGATTTTTGGCAGTAAAGAGAATGGGTGTCATCAGCTGGGCCCAGGTGTGTTGTGAGAGAAAAGTCAATACAGAGAAGGAAATCCGAAAGTGTGTTGAATTATTTCAGGTTGAGGCTTAAGTCTGATTGCAGAAGGAGGGAGCAGGTGGGCTCCGGGTCCTGACAGTGGGCAAGTGGGTCCCACTCTACCCAAGAAAATGTCTTGTAAAGGGAGTACCTGCTTGAGCCACACTAGCGCTATGCACATATACTATCAATCATTCTTCCTTTCGCAGGTTTCCCAGCTTCTGCGTGCTAGGTCCTCGGGAAGAAAAGCAACTTAGGTTTTGGTCCTTGAAAAGCTCATGGTCTACTGATCAAGGCAGAAAGGGAACAGATAGAGTGTTCTTGTGGAATAACTGCTAAGGGGTGGGCGATGCCAGAAAAGGGGGCACTAAAAAGGTCTTTCAGAGGGTGGCTGGATTGCCCCCTTCCCTCAGGCCATCTGTGGGGGTTCCTGAGCACTTGACTCCATATTCACATGGAGTGGAAACCAGGTCCCTCCCAGGGGTGAGTCAGGTCCTCTGGGCCCAAGCACAGTGGGGGGCAGCCCATGCAGGCAGTTGGCAGTGGCGCCTTAGAGATAGTCTCTGCTTACTAGCACTCTCAAAGTCAGATAGCCCACTTAACAGAAGTGTCCTGTTGTCTCTTACAGGGAGAGGTTCTGGAATATGTGGATGATCTCTTGGAGGTGGAGGAGACTGGCTAGTCCACAGCAAAGATGTGTCCCTTGATGTTCAGGAGACCCAGATTGTTCGTCTTCCTTTCCCCAGTACCCCACGTGGTTGATACCTCAAAGCATTCTATTTACTCTGTGAAGTGAAAGAGAAGCCTCATCTCTCACTACATCCAATAAGGGGTGAGCCTGCCTTCTCCATGACTACACCTGCCTCCCCATGGTCTTCTCATGTTCACACCTGCCTTCTCCTCATTCACACCTGCCTTTCTCACCATTTTGGCTAGAAGGACAGACTTCCATTTTTTCCCCCAGAAAATCACTATCATTTTTTTTTACTATCATTTTTTTTAATAAGAAAAATACTCCTAAAATTAGCTCTTCCAGATTTTAGACCCCATTATCCCCATGCCCTGATCCAAGAAAAACTGTGGAAAACAAAGGCCAAACTTCTCCACACCTTACGACAGCCTTTATGTGGTCTGACCTGCACCATTTCTGGCACCCACTGAAAGACAAGTTGGGTAGATAGTGCAGACTACAGAAATATGGAATTTGCCCAGCACTTCTACATCTCCAAAGTCTTAAAATGGTTGGTCGGTCCCCCTTAGGGACAATTGTCAGTTACAAGTCTCAGAGTTGAGAATGGAAGAAAGCAGAGGGAGTCTAGTTTCATTCATTTTTTTCAATAAATATTTATTGAGTACCTACTACTCACTGGAAATACCGCACAGAATGACAGAAAAAAAAAAAAAACCCTTCCTCTGGAGCCTACATCCTATAAGGAGAGACAGACAACAAATAAATAAGAATAAATATATACAAACTATCAATAGTAATAATTGCTATGGAGAAAAATAAAGCAGGGAAATGAGTATGGAAGCCTGGAGAGGAGCCTACAGTTTTAAATAGGATGGTCAGGGAAGACTTCACTGAGAAGGTGATATCAAAGTAGAGACTTTAGGGATGCAAGTCTCAGGGAAAAGCATTCCAGGCAGAGGGAACCGCATAAGCAATGCTATACAGTGAGAACATGCTCAGTGTGGTGAGGGAATAGCAAAGAGGCCATGGAGAGGAGTGGGCAAGGGGAAGAATGGAAGGAGTTAAGGCTAGTGCAGTGTACGTACATGGGGTGGGAGAGAGGGCAGATGGCTTAGGCCGTGTAAGGGCTTTGGCTCCTCTTCTGAGTGAAATGGGAGCCTTTGGAAGGTTTGGGCAGAGGAGTGCCTTGATTGACTGGATTCTTCCAGTTGCCATATTGTGAGCAAGGGCGGAAGCAGGGATAGCAGGCAAAGGAAGTGTTGGCTTGAACCTGAGCCATCACAATGGAGATGGTGAGAAGTGGTCAAATGGTAGGCTTGTTTTGAAAGCAGAGCTAGTTAGGATTTGGTGACAATTGGGTGTGGAGCATAAGAGAAAGGGGTTAATGGTGACCTCAAGGTTTTTGGCCAGAGTAGCTGGAGGGATGGAGTTGCCATTTACTGAGTGTAGGGAAGTTGGTTGCGGGTGGTAGGAATTTGGTGTCAAGCAGGCTCTCTGAGGCTGGGATGGGAGATTCAGGCTGCAAATTAAATTTGAGAGCATTCTCAGATCAAGTCTTCAACAGAGCCTGAAACAGGGATCCAAGTGTGGTTTATTGCAAGGGCACATTCAGAAGAAATCTGTGAAGCCTCCATTAGTCAGCTAGTGATGTCTGTCCCTTGGGGGGCAGGGGTGGACCTTGGAAGGTAAGTAGCTTGATAATTGAGGGCAGTTCTCCTGCAAAAGGACAGAAGGACTGTGGACCACTGGCAGGGGATAGACACAGTGAGGGACTGGGATGGGGATGTGGGTCCCAGTTCTGTGAAGGGGGTCTGGGAGGGAATTCTACGTCATGTCTCTCCCCACCCCCTGCTGGATCATCAGCATGTACATTGTGTGTAAAGCCATGAGTCTGGATGGGGTCACCTAGATGGAATGTGTGTTTTACGAAGCAAGAGAAGAGGGTCAAGGTCAGAGCTCTGGGGCTCTCTGGGAAATGAGAAACCTACCAAAGAGACTAGAAGGAGCCACCGTTGAGGTCGGAGAAAACCCAGGAAAGTGGTGTTTTGGAATGTGAGTTCTCTTTTTTCAACCTTGTTCCCTCCTCCAATAAGCCACTTCATCTGGGGAAGGAGGCTGAGGGGACTAGGACAGCCTTTGGGAGACAGGACTTCTCTTACAGGCATGGAAAGGAATGAAGGGAGATAGAATTTGGGAGTCATTAATATGATGGTGAGTAATTGGGGGTGGCAAACTCATATATTTTTGGTTTCCCAGGCTTCTTCCCCCTCCTCCCACCACCCCATCTCACCAGTCTAAGCTCTGGGAATGCCCTTCCATTCCTGGGAACACCCTTCTGTTCCTCCTTCTGCACCATTCTGCTCCCCATCCCTTTCTCTTTAGAGCACCTCCTCTTTTTACCTGCACAAGAATCCTCCTGTCATGTTCTCCTTCTGGGGCACTGACAATAAGCTACTACTGTCTTGCCCTACCTACAGAGCCTACCCTCCCAGGGGCCATATGGCCAAGGAGTCAGTGTGATTGACATTGTGGTGGCCACACTTGTGTCCACAGCAGCCCCCAGTCAGGGCATGACTCAGATCCTACGGGCTTCCACCCACAGTCACGGGATCCTCCTCCTTCCCTTGCCCTGCTCTCTGCTCCACCAGCAGGGAGGAGGGTCATAGGGCAGGTCTCTACAGTAGAGAGGAACCCAGTGAGTGGCCACCCTGGCCCAGACGCCCAAGTCCATGGAGATGGTACACCTGGCAGCCATTTAACTCAGCAGGGAGCTCCTGGCTACAGCTGTGTGAGAACAGCCAAGGACATCAACATGGGACCAGGCTGGGTTGGGTAGTCTGATCCCCTCCACTTCTTTGTGCCCTGCAGACCTTCCATTTGGTCCTCTTCCTTGAGCCTGGGCTGAGCTCTTTGTGGATGATGTTGCTCCACACATGGTTGAGTGGTGGTGGTGGTAGAAGGGGTCCTTATTTACTCACTGAACTTGATGCCTCTTTACAGGGGTGGCAGGGTGGTTGAAAAGCACCTCCGCCCTGATCCTGGCAATGCCCCTGAGGAAGAAGCCCTGGGAGCAGTATGGTCAACATTGTCAGCACTTTGCTTGGATTGGAAGCTATGGGACTGGGTTACTAATCTTTTTATTCCAAAGGAAACCAAACCAATCTTAAAAAAAAAAAAAAGGTGGGCCAATTCCTCCAAACCTACCATGAAACCCAGTACGCAGACCACATTCAACAACCTCAACCCAGCACCTCCCTGAGTGTGTTTCTTGGAAGAGCCTAGAAGATTCCTGGATTGAGACTTCATGGGTTCAGCATTAGTTGGGCCTGTCTTTTGAAAAAAAAAAACAACAAACAAAAAACAAACACATTTTTAAGCTTTGCAGAAGTTTCCAGACCTAGCCTTAGGTGTCCTTCGACTCATCTCCATGGAGGGCAGCAGGGAGGTGACCCCCCACGGGGATGGGTCCATCTGTCCAGTCACCTTGCCATGTGGGTAGCCCAGGGAGGTGGCATCCTCTGGGAAGGGCTGCCCACCGTGACCCCAGGAATGTTCAGTGTCTACACTAGCAGTGGAGCACTGAGGGAGGCCTGTATAGACACAGGTTTAAAAGGGACTAATTGAAATGTCTCTCATACCATATTCAACGATGTACCTTGACCTCTGAGCTTCGAGCCACTCTAATGATGGCCCTAACCTGTTATGCCCACCCCTGGGACCCAGGAGAGCTGCTGGGCATGCTGGCCACGAAGCCTGCCTTAGGAAATGAGGCTTTTAGGAGTTCTTACTCAGGGAATTTTAGGAGAACAAACATTTTATTGAACCAAACTCAGTGGCAAACAGAAAATGATCTGTTAGATTGTCAATGGGGAAGGGTTTATTATGACTGCTGGTGGAATAAACAGTGGCTGGTTTCTGCCAACATTTATGGAAATAATGTTTTTAAGTTTTAAATGTGAGCTGTAAACCTAAGCTACTTCAGGGTTGTTGTTTTTTTTTTTTTTAATTCAATACTGAAACTGTGGGGGGAAAGGTGGATTGGTGCCAGAAAAAACATTCTCATTTAATAGTGTTTGCACATGGAACTGCTACCCAGTTTGTAGCGGGGCCCTGAGAAAAACCCACAACTAATCCTTCATCACAGCTGTCTGCGCTCTTGATCATCTGCCATCCTCCGAACAGCGACTTCTTTTTTCTGGTGACTGCAGGCTTGAATGACCTAGTGTGGAGAGTTTAAGCTATATACAAGGGTGGGGGGTGGGGTGGGGAGAAAGGAACCTCAAATAAGCCTCAGCCAAAGGTTTTGTGCATAGGACTTCCTGTGCCGGCAGCCAGGGGCAGGGCTGTTTCCCACCCTGTTCCTGCAGTGTCTCCCCGAGATGGAGGACATCGCGACAGCCAGCTTTGCCTTGCCTGACCCACTCCTGTCCCTGCACCGAGTCAGGAGCACTGTGGTTTGTTCCACACTTGGGTACTTCTCCCTCCACCTCCAGGCCAGGTGTGGGAGCAGTTGACCCCCAGCACCAATCACTGCCCCCCAGGGGCCTCTCCCCAAATATCTGGCTTTGGTGGCTTGCTGAATGAACGCGTTGGCTCACTATTCTCTTGGAGCCAATGCAGTAGGATGCTGGTGGCCCACTTTATAAGAAAAGAATAAGAAGGAAGTAAGCAATTTGGCCAAGAGGTACAGGATCACTTGGTTTTGAGGAGGCCAGACTATAAACACTGTTGCCAATGTCTCTCTGTCCTCCCCTCCCTCGGCCAGGGCAGTATGTAATCTCACTCTTACAGGAAATAAGAACTTGGAAAGTTATTGAAAACAAAGATTTTTTTTTTTAAAGAAAATCACATTAAACGTTTTATTTTGCTTATTTTCTACTGTTTTGTCTACTGGGTGAGCCTGAGCCACACCCAGTCATTTGAGGATGCCGTTGTAAGGAGCTCTGTTTTCTCAGGTCCCTGAGATTTCTAACAGCTGTCCAGCAAAGCAGAACCCTTATTCCGAGGACTCTGGGATCTTCCTCAGCAGAGGGGGATCCTTGCTAGCCTCACGGGCTGAGCACCTTTTCAGGAGATAGGGGCTCATTCCTCTTCCCAGGAAGGTTCTCTTTTAGAGGAGATCTGGGATTCCACTTGGAAAAACATTTGGGATCCAGGGCTTACTTTTGATCTAAAGAGCTGGTCCCTTGCTGCCAACATCTGAGAAGTGATCAAACAAGGACCAAAACACCATCAAGGATGACCGCTAACAGCTTCCGTGCTCTGTGCATGTCACTGAAGGGCCAGAAAGGAGACAAAAGAGCAGAGGAAGCAGGTGCAAGGAGTGAGGGAGCAGTGAGGGCAGGGAAGCGTGGAGAGTTCAAACAGCAGCCGTGTGAGGACAGGTAGGGGACACGGGCGTGGTGTTGGAACTGGCCCAAGAATCCCCAGGATGCAGCGGAGAAGCATGGCATGAGGAGGCGTGGAGATGCGGGGATCAGAGCTTTCGAAGCCTGGTATGGGCATGAAATGCTCTGAATTGGGGTGTGAGGGAGACCAGCTTCAGCCTGATCCCATGGGAACTCAGGAGCACAGATTCTACCCAGAACTGTCCCACCCGGAGGCAGGGAGGCAGGCCTGGGGTATGCCCGTGCCAGTCGTAGCTCCAGGCTGCCCTGGGGAGTACAGGTGGCTCTTACTCCTGGGTGAGGAACTCCCATGGGGCTAAAGGCAATCCTCTGGATGAGAAGGCATTTTTGAGCATTTTAGCTGCCACCATGCAGGGTAGCTGGAGGATGGGTTCACGTGCAGAGTGAAGGGGATCTGGGTGGGGCACAACTGTGTCCATGACATTGGGTAACGGGGGAGGCATGGACGGCCTCCTGGTGGTCACAGAAGTATAAGGGGACATCAGGCAGATGGGATCGATGCTGGTGTTCTCTGAGCTTGATTGCTCCATTTGTCTCTCCAGATTTCTTTTTCAGCCTGTCCTGGGCCCCAGGGGCTTGGCCCTTATGGTCGATACTGCCTGGGCTCCCTATCCTTTGGTTTTGGGGTTGCCACTGGGATGTGCTGGCAAGAGATCGCAGGGAGGACCCTGCTTCCTTCAGGCTACACTGGGATGGTGGCTGTGTTCTGCTTGAGGCCAGAGGTTTTTGTCGTGAAGCTCTCTTTCCGGTCCCCTAACAGCCCTGCACCCCACACTGTTTCTGTTAACCGTGCCCACACTTTTATGACTAGTCTCTATGTCTCTCTTGAATCATCCCTCTGAGTGTCTGATCAGGAGGAGGATAATCAGCCCTGGGCTCTACTTCTTGCATGTCCCTGGCACACCCAGCACCCAGCACTCTATTAAAAGCAGAGTCTCAGCAGGTCTGGGAGGGGCCTGGGATTCTGCATTCCTAGCAAGCTGCCAAGTCCTGCCTATGCCCCTGGCCCCGGAGCCACACTGACAATTGAACTTGGGCCTTTTGTCAGAGTGAAGGGTATGGTCTTTGGTTGAGGGGAGGACAAGGGAGGGAGGCAGGAGGAGGGGCAGGAGCTCCGCAGACATCCCTGAAATCCTGCTGCAAGAGCGAACAGGGCTGAGACTCCGAGAGGGTGGTCTTGGAGCAAATATGAACACACAATTTTTGAGATTACTAGAGAAACTTTTTGTTTTAAACCATCATGATGTAATCCAGATACAAGATACATTGAGCAACTGTTTGGGGAAATAATTATTTATTTTAAAGATCTCAGAAGCTTTGTGTTAATGGACCACGCGACCCTCAATTTTCATTAACATTAAACGTTTACCAGTCTCAAGACACGCATAATGACATATAATTTAGGTTTACAATGTTTTAATCATTCCTCTTCCATATGCATTTTTAGATCCTATAACATTAATTTAGATGGAAGCAAACCAATAAAAACTTAAAAACTGATGTGTTGGGTTTGTTTTCATGTAGTTCATGTCTATGAAATAATACATGTATTAATGCATCTGTAATAAATTTATTAATACATTTGTATTATCATTACCTATTTTTGTATTGGTATTAGGTCAGTGTTCTTGGATTATTACATAATAATAGTCGAGTAACACAATCCCAATGTTGAGATGGAGGTTATTTTATATAGTTAAAAACAGAAAAGTTATCTTGTAATAGATTAGAAAAAAATCTAATTTATAAATATATAGTCTCTGGCGCTTATTCTGTAGTGTTTTGCTTTGGCTACATGCAGAAAGTGTTTCAATCTTATTCTAGATTTCATCTGACCCACAGATATTCCATCTGGTAGCTTCAGGCCTTCATTTTACCCCATAATGGGAGTAGGGTCTTTGATTTTGCTGCACTGCCTTTATAGCTACTAAGCCTATGATTTTTCCAAAGCTTGTACCGAGAAGAGGTGGCAGGGTGGAAAACATGTTGTGCGAATTCCTTTTTCCTTAGGTAAAACACCATTACCAATTTTTCAGTTGTGAAGATCAGGATCTCTCTCATGCCACATAAAACCACTTTAGTGTCTTAAAATCAATGTACAGGCTTCATCACTTTTTACCACTGAAGACTATTTCCAAGAAGATGACTCATATTATAAAAATAATCATGTGTTTCATTTCTGTGCCAATGCATATGAGGCCAGTGGAGATGGCACTTCGGCAGCTCCCAGTGCTGCCACAGGTGCGTGAAGCGATGCCTGACTTGGTGCAAGGCAAGCCACAGGTGTTACTCATCATCTTCTGTGCCTCTAGGGCCTCTGCTGGTTCAAAGCTCACAGTTTATATTACATTTATATTATAAAGTGTGCTTTGGAATCACCTGGAGGACTCAGCCCTGTCCCCAGGACTTCTGCTTCATGGTGAGTTGACTGCTGGTCTGAGGACCATGCTCTGAGAACCACGGTTGTAAACAGTGCATGCTGAGCCATCATAAGAGGATCCAGATGCTATAAGATGGGTTGCTCAGTAGTCAGGAGGAGTCCATCCTGAATTCATGCTGTTTCCATGGAGCTCCCAGTAGCCACAAGAGTACAGAAGAGGTCAGCACATAGCATTTCATATTCCTTTTTAATTCCTCTGCTTTCTCATTGAATAGGTGCCCATACTTGATATCCCAGTCCTTGGCCCTCCTACAACTTTATTTTCCTCCCATGTCATTCCCTCTTACTTGGGTTCAAAAAAATGATTAATCATGAAAGAGGAAACCAAGTACTGAGTTTTGTTAGTTTAACAAAAAATTCTATGACATCGTTAGGCACAGACTGGTCAAGGACAAGTAGCCCACTGCTTCTAAAAGAAAATGCTGCTTACTGGTACAAAACTAACCATGTTTTAATTTTATTTTTTAAAAGATTTATTTATTCATTTGGGAGAGAGAGTGAGCAAACATGTGCTTATTTATTCATTTGAGAGGAAGAGAGCTAAAAATCCTCAAGCAGACCCGCTGCTGAACATGGAACCCAATGTGATATGGGGCTCGATCCCAGGACCCTGAGGCCATGACTTGAGCCAAAATCAAGAGTCAGATGCTCAACTGACTGAGACACTTAGGCACCCCCAAAACTAACCGCATGTTTTTAGAAAAACAATAGTCTGTCCTACAAAATGGAGGGAACAAAGGTAGATATGTCCTGCTACTCCTCACCTCCGTCCCGCCCCCAACAAAACATCAGTCCTAAATTCTTTCCAATTTCTTTTTTTCCCCTCCAATTTTAACTATTAAAAAGAAACCTCAAGGGTCACTGGGTGGCTCAGTCAATTGAACATCTGCCTTTGGCTCAGGTCATGATCTCAGGGTCCTGGGACTGAGTCCCATGTCGGGCTCTCTGCTCAGTGGGGAGCCTGCTTCTCCCTCTCCCTCTCCCTCTCTCAAAAAAATAAATAAATAAATAAAATGTTTAAAAAAATAAAAAGGAAATAAAAAGAAACCCCAAAACTTCTAGATTATGCCCTGGTTCTTGGTTCATTTGCCCTTACAACACCACAACATTAAAAGGAAATAACCCCTTATTTTGCTGTGTCCCACCCCCAACAATTAAATATCTACATCCTAAATAACACTGCTCTCAAATGCTCAGTTTATCACACTTTTTCTAAAAATTTCAGGTCGTGGAGTCATTCATTTTTTTTTTTCTTAAAACAAGGAAAAGAAGATGAAGTGAGAGGTGAGTTTTGAACTCACACTGGAATGAGGGCCTGAGCACAGGTCTGGGATTAGCACAATACAGTCCAGAGCAGTTAGTTAAGGAGATATTGATGTGTGTGATGATGCCACCAAAGCCTTCTTATCCTACTGGGTGCCTCCAGAGACACTTCTTGGCCTATAGAACAAAGACCTGAGAAAAATAAAGACAAGCCCTACTCCACCTGTTTCATGCTCTAGTGAATTATCAGTGTTTATCAATGAGACATGGCACAGTTTATTTCCTCCTAAGTGGCTTTGGGAGAGCCTGCTCTGAAGGTGGCTAGACCTTCTCCATCTCAATCTGCTGGTGGTAGTGCCGAGCCTGCCGCTGGCCAATGTTCAGCTTGTACACAGAGCTCTTGTGCTGGCACTTACGGTGGCCCCACACTGCCCCCACACCTGCCAGGAGCAGCAGCAGACACAGGACGGTGACAATGGTAGCAATGACAGGGCCTCTGCTGAGGCTGGGACACCCATCCCCTATACATGGTTCCACAGTTGGAAGAAGCTCCTCATTTGCACCTGGGCCAGGGCTTTCCTGTCCCAAGAAGTCCTCAGACAGCAGGTATGGGAAACTATCCTGGATCTCAGGAGCAACGGTTTCCACTGGAGTTTGCGTGGCCGCCATGACAGTTGAGGGAATGTGATTCAGCATCTGCTGGACAGCAGTTGTTACTGTCTCCAGGGTAGCGCTGGTGAGTTCATAGGGTAGGGTGGCCACAGGAGACTTCTCTGTGGCAAACCTCCAAGCCACAGTTGATTGGTACTTGGTCAAGTCATCATCTCCCTTGCTGGGACTCTCAGTCTCAGATATATTTTTTGGTCTGAGAGCCAAAGCTTCTATATCTAGTGTTTGAGATGGAAGAACTGAACTACGGGTCATGTCCTCACTTGGTGTGAAGGTGGTATTCCTGGGCTTCTTAACTTCTACAGGAATGGGCTGATTAGAAGTAACTAGAACCATTTCTTCCACCCCTACTGACCCATCTCCCTTATCCCCATCTTCTTCCTCTTCCTCCTCTTCTGCCTCTATCTTCCTCCAAGCCCCATCGGTCACAGGGTAGCCATCTAACCAGGACTCATCACTGCTGCTCACCATTGGGTCCCCTCTCCTGCTGGCAGTCCTGCCCACCAATGGCCCCGTGTGACCATCAGTGCTGCTATAGATCACCTTGGCTTCAGGTCCACTTGGAGCCGGTGTTAGGCTACTGTGGTTATCTCTAGCTGGAAACTGCTTTTTGGTGCCATCATTCATCTCCTTCTCCTGCTCAGGCTTGTGGAAGTTCTCAGGAGGAAACCAGAACAAGTATTTCTGGTTCAGTTGGGATCCTGGCATGTCTGTGGGGACACTGCTTCCTGCGATGGACAAGCCTGTGGTTGGCACAAAGGCTGTATCCTGGGCTATGTTTTTTCTCCCCACAGAAATGGAGACCAGATGGTCCTGTTTTGGAGCGTCCTCAGATGCCTCTCCTGGACCTTTGTCCTCCTCTGCCTTTGTCTGGGAGTCCTCCGTGAGCTCTCTGAATGACACAGATCGGTCATCAGGGAAATTATCTTCATAGTCAATATGTGCCTCAGCCACATCTGGAAGGAGAGAAGGAAAAACCTCATTAGGTCCGAGGTCACAGATCCAGCAGGGTAGAATATAAGAAAAGGAAATAAAGAGCATCAGGACTGGAAAGCTGTCATTTATAGAAGATATGACTGTATATCACAGACAAACCCAAAGAATCTACATAAAAACTGTTACAATCAATATATGGGTTTCTCAAGGACACTGGGTCTATCATCGATGTAAAATATCAACTGTATTTCTATATACCAGCAATACACAGATATAAAAATTTTAAAAGACACCATTTGCCATAGCATTAAAAAAAGTCAAACACCTAGGAATAAAGCTAACAAAAGATATGCAAGATTTGAACATGGAATGATACAAAATATTGCCAAGCAAAATTAAAGACCTCACTAAATGAAGGGACACACATGGTCATGTAATGGAAGGCTCACAACTGTTAAGCTGTCAACTCTGTACAAACTGACCTACACAGATTTAAAACAACCTTAATAAAAATCTAAGGCATTGACAAATTGATGCTAAAATTTATGGATATGCAAAGAACCAAGAAGATTTCTTGAAATCTAAAAACTTTCAAGATTTACTCTAAAACCGAGTTACTTTTAAGACTGTGGTAATGACACAAGGATACATAATTGGATTACATTAACTTTAGGAACTTCTGTTTATCAAAAGCTACCATAAAGAGAGTTAAAATGCAAGCCACAGACTTGAAGATGTTTGTGACACAATCTCCAAAGGCTCTATATCCAGAATTTATTAAAAAAAACTCCTACAAATCAATACTAAATAAGCAGACAAGCCATCGAAAAGTTGGCAAGATACTTGAAATTGGCACATCACAAAAAAGACATCTAAGCGGTCATTAAACATGAGTATAGGTACTCAACATCCTTAGTAATAGAGAAATGCTAACTACAGCCATAAAAACATGTCATGCCATCATACCACAATGGCTAAAATTAAGCCATTAATTAGTGTTAACTGATGTTATCAGTTAACTGATGACAAGACCTAATGTTAACTGATGATATCTAGTATTTGGGCACCAAAGGACATGCACAGAATGTTCATAATAATCAAAACCTGGAAATGATTCAAATGTTCATTAACTGCAGAACTGACATAAATCACAGCATTTGTATAAGGAAAGCCTGTATAAGGAAAACCTGTACATTAATGAAAATGAACCACTCATTGCTTCTGACAAGGATAGCAACACATCTCACAGCCATAATGTTGAGCAAAAGAAGCCAGACATAAAATAACACACTTTGGAAAAAAAAAAAAAAGAACAAACTTTGTGTGATTCTATTTACATAAAGTGCAAAACTAGGCAAAGCTAATCTATGATGTTAAAGGTCAGGTTGGTGGATAGAGAGAAGGGGTAATGACTAAGTCTGGGGACAAGCAGAGCTTTGGAGATCCTGCCAACATTCTACTTGACCTGTGTGGTGGCCAATTTCTTTGTTTCGTAAATGATAATTAATTGATCTATTCCCTTATGATGTATATGTATGTCACGTTTAATTAAAAATGCATCTTTTAGGGGTTCCTGGGTGGCTCAGTCGGTTAAGCCTCTGCCTTTGGCTCAGGTCATGATCCCAAGGTCCTAGGATCAAGCCCTACCTTAGGTTCCCTGATCAGCAGAGAGCCTGGTTCTCCCTCTCCCTCTGCTACCCACCCCCCTCCCCGCTTGTGCTAACTCCCTCTCTGTCCTTGTCAAAAAAAAAAAAAGAAAAAAGTATCTTTTGAAATAGATTTGCTCTTTGTAAGATAGCTTGAGACTATGCTGTGAAATGTCCTAAATCCTGCTGAGTGAGAATAAACAAAGAGCCCCACAGTTAGGACACCAAAATTTAAAGACAGTAGGTCAGGAAGGCTCAAGGAGCTGTGTTCTGGGAAAAAAGGAGCCCCACTGGGATTTCCCCATTCTCAATGGATGGAAGTCATACTTAATTATTAAAATAGAAAGGCTCCCTAGGGCTTTGATATATAATAAGAAATATATGTTTAGTCTTTGCCTCTGGTTCCTGGTACAGAGCTCCTAAAACCATTGGAATTTTCTAAGCACTAGGAGTGATAAGAATATCTTTTGTTATTCGTAACAAACTCCTTTCAGCCTTACCTGAATTTATGCTAATCATGTGACCCCCTAGACAGCATCCAGATGGTTGGCTGCCAGAGGAACTAATCAATTGATCAGCCCCAGACTCTGACCTCGGAGGAGGGAGAAGGAGGTTGGAGGGAGAGTCAATCACCAAAGGCCAAATAACAAAATCTCCATAAACCCCCTAAACTACAGGGTTCAAAGAGCTTCTAGGTTGATGAATGCATCCATGTGCTGGGAGGGGAGCTCACCCCAATTTCATGGGACAGTTGCTCTTGTACTTGGGATCCTTCCATACCTTGCCCTTTATATCTCTATATCCAATTGTTCATCTGTACTCTTCATAATATCCTCTATAATAAATTGGTAAATGTAAGTTAAGTGCTCTCCTGAGTTCTGTGAGTCTTTCTAGCAAATTACTGAGTCTGAGAGGATGGTTGTGAGAGTCTCCAATTTAGAGCTAGTTGATCAGACTCTCACAACCATCCTGAGGCTCAGGATGTAGAACTGGGGTCTGAAGTGGGGGCAGTCTGTGGGACTGAGTGCTTAATCTATGGGGTCTGCACTAACTCTGAGTAGTTACTGTTAGCATTGAATTAAATGACAGGACACCCAGCTGGTGTCCAGAGATGGAGAATTGGCTGTTTGTGTGAGAAGTGTTCTGTGGGAAGAAATAGATCTTAGCAGTCTTTTCCCATTTCTCTTTGCAACTTGGAAAGCATAAATGCAAGGAGCTCCAGAACTAAGGCTCTGAAACTGGATTAGTGGGCATTTGGCTTATTTCTTATAAGACTCCAGATTTTGCTTCCTTAATGACTTGAGAGTTACAAATACATTTAAAAGTTCTTTCTGGGGATCCCTGGGTGGTGCAGTGGTTTAGCGCCGGTCTTTGGCCCAGGGCGCGATCCTGGAGACCCGGGATCGAATCCCACGTCGGGCTCCCGGTGCATGGGGCCTGCTTCTCCCTCTGCCTGTGTCTCTGCCTCTCTCTCTCTCTCTGTGACTGTCATAAATAAATTAAAAAAAAAAAAGTTCTTTCTGACTGGTTCCTAATATTTAAGCCCATTCACTTTACTTGTGTCTTCAGTCAAAAATGCAAAAACGGCAGATAACAAACAGACATCTCTGATAAATATAAAATGCATGTCATATTTTACACTTCGAAAATGATAGCCAAGGGGCACCTGGCTGGCTCAGTCAATAGAGCATGTGACTCTTGATCTCACGGTTGTGAGTCTGAGCCTCACGTTGGGTGTAGAGGTTACCTAAAAATTAAAACTTAGGGATGCCTGGATGGCTCAGTGGTTGAGCGTTTGCCTTCGGCTCAGGGCGTGATCCTGGAGTCTGGGATTGAGTCCCATATCGGGCTTCCTGCAGGGAGTCTGCTTCTCCCTCTGCCTATGTCTCTGCCTCTCTCTGTGTGTCTCTCATGAATAAACAAATAAAACCTTAAAAAAAATTAAATCTTAAAAAAAAAAGAAAGAAGGAAAAAGATAGCCTACTGATTATTTCAGGAGACCCTTCCACCCCCTATGATGTCCCGTTCACAATCCCTAGACAGAAACCACATCAGTGGCTGGACCATTCTTAGGAGCATTACAGAATTCCGACACAGGCCCCTAGGGTTTGGGCAGGCTGGCCCACTCACTTTTGTGTCGTAATGCCTCATTCTCTGTTGCACTCCCATTCCAAGTAGTGCAGTCACCTACTCCACCACTCAACGGGCTTCACTGAGTGCACTGACTATTTATCTGACACTGCAAGGGCTCTGAGTCACTGGGGAACAGGACACGCAGTTCCTGCCCTCATGGAGCATAGGGGACAGAATTCCAAGGTCTTGAGACTTTCCAGGTTTCATGGCAAAGCTTTTGTATGCACACATTCTCACCCATCCTGCCGGATAAAGACTGGGTTTTGCATTTAAGTACCATCTTTTCTTAAAAACACAACAAAATGAAACAAAAGCCGCTAGGACAAAATGTTTCTCTAAAATTTACCCAAACAAGTCATATGGGATCCAGCTGGACATTTAAGAAAGCCGTGACTTAAATCTCTCACCTCCCTGCAGTTCTACTGTTGGCTTGAACGTGTATGTACTGATTGCCGTGGAAAGGTGATCACAAAACCCACAATTCTCCATCTTTCCTGCATAAAGGCCTTCTGCAATGTGATTGTGTAGCTCTTCCCTTCAAGAAGGGTGCCTCTTTTTCCAGCTCTCAGATTGGGACTGGCCTATACTTGCTTTGGCCCAGAGTACAGTGAAAACCTTGCATGTGCACTCTCGCTCTCTTTCTCTTTCTCTGCACCCTGCCAGCTGCCAGCAGAACAAGCCTGGGATAGCCTACTGAGGGATAAGAGGCCATGTGGAGGAGAGGCAAACTGTCCCAACTGACCCCATGCTAAACCAGCCAGCTCCCGTCAGCCTGGGAGCTGACCACATTCATCCGAGTGAGCCCAGCCAAGGCCAGAAGGACGAGCTGGCTAAGCCCAACCCAAACTGCTTACACGAAAGCTGCACCCAAATAAATGAGGGTTGTTTAAGCCATTCCATTTCGGGGGGTAGTTTATTATACAGGAAAAACGAATACACTAGCCATGAGCTGGCTCAAGGACAGGGATCCCTGGAGCAGAACAGCAGCCAGCCCGTAATGAGTATTCTTGTAGGTATTCTTGAGTGAGTGAAAGATTAACTGGCCCTGGGAGAAACAGAGAGGAACATCTACTCAGACCTCAGGAATCTCGGGATCCCTGACTCACAACTGCTCAGAGCTAAGATCTAGTTCAGGGGCACAGTGCCCAAAATACAAGGGGACTTTGGGCTCATTTCCGATTTCTGAGGAATTAATTACATATATTCATAGACTCTTATAACACCTCTGAGAGATGCCACCA